TAACATTTAAGAGTTCTACAGCGATTAATAACCAGCTCCTTAGAAGCTTTTACTTTACTACTCGTTTAGTTTAGATATAAATTAAGGTAACACGGAGTCGTTTGAATTCTGAACGAGTTCTTATGAGGCATTTAGGTTTTATTCTAAATAATTTGGAGGCACTAATTTAATACCAGATAATTGTCTTTAAAGTGTCCCTAAATTCCTTAAACAATCGTTAGTTTCCATATCCATTGGACTGTCTTTCCGACAAGACAAATAAACGATGGTTGACTCTGTTTATTTTTGTATGAGAGTTGAATTGCTTCTTCCCAGAATAGTTGGTAACATGGATAATCGTTCTGTAAATAGTTCCAGCGAATATAAATACTGGCGCTTGTAACGATTAATACTGTCATAATAATGACGAAAATATTAATCTCGTATCCTTGACGTTTAAAATAATAATAGATGAAAGTTTTTAAAGTTATTTTCATTGTAGGCAATCGAATAAAACGTTCTTAGACTGTAAATATTTGATAAAATTCCACCAATTTGTGGACAGCGCGTAATACAATAATAATAAGAATATTACAAAGAGACGTGAGAGGTTCTTTTCCGCCAAACGGATAAGTAGGCAGCTATAAACCTGTAATAGAAACCGGTTTAGCCAATGTGGACTTACGGACTGGGGAGAGGGCATGCGATATCAAAGCAGGTGTTCCACTATGAGCCTACTGCCTCAATGAGAATTCCAACTCGAGCCTTAAATGGTTTGTCTGAGATTTAGTTCACCATATAAACATAATTTAAGTCAGCAAGTAGGGACGCTCATGGGATTAAAGTTTGAGAGTATTTTAAAGTTAAACCCCTAAGAAATAGTCCCGAAGAATTGTTGAGAAAGTTTTGGGACGACAAAGTTAGCATCACCATCGGCTATGATTCTTCCATCAGCATCGCAGTAAAGACAGTTAGAGAAGACGAGAGGCTGGCGTGTTTATAACGTGTGTTTAATCACATAGCAGAGCCGGCGCGCGGTCCCTTACCGGCCTGCGCCTGAATAATGGATACAATAATAATATGAGCTGACTCAATGGTATTATACTCTGAGCTGACCAGTCAGTGAAGGCATTCAATGCGGAAATGCACACAACGGCTCAAAATTTTCTTCTTATAAATACCATTGGTTCTTTGCCTCTAACCGGCTTGAAAAAAGGAGGAGGTTCTCAATTCGATTATTATATATTGTGTGTATGTTACTCATTTACTTCCGACATTTGTGAACCGAATTCGATGATTCTTTTTTTGTCGAAAAGGGGGTACCTCAGTAGTAGTCCCATTCAAATTTGAAGAATATATTAACACACAACACCTTACCACCACACATAACACCTCTAAGGTTGGCAAATCTGGGAATGAATCCGATTTATTGGATTTCACCCACTCACCGATTTCAATAAAACTTGGCAAATAGATGTAATTCCACAAACTTTTGAGGTTGGTTTTTTTTTATAATAAAGTTATAATAATCACAATAACCTTTCGTTTGTGGCTCGGATATCCCTCTCTCAATATGTGGTTTTATCAGGAGAGCAGGGGAGCGCAACACTTGTTCGCTCTGCATAGAATATTCTCACTAAACAAACATTTTGTAGGTAAATTTAAATATAAAAATAAATTGTGTGAAAAAAGCTATACTAAAACGTTCCATCATTTGAAACAAGCTTTTCGAGTTTGCGGAAATTAACTATACAATGAATTACAATTAAAGATACATATTACAATTAAAGATAACATAACTTTCTATAAGTGTCTGTGGCACCAAACTGTGCAAGCTTTATTTGCATAGTAAGCGAGTTTAGTTGCTATTTAAACATAAGGAACTAATGTGTAGGTAGAGAGTCAGCCAACCGGAACAGGTTATGTTGTACTATGTTCTTGCTAAGTAAAATACTTAATGGTTACCTGTGTATCACTTTGAACACCACTCGCATTTAAAATGTCTTTGTGTGAATCGTCGATTATTCTTTAATGTTTTTTATTAGGCGCTTCTATAATTCCGTTGGATTTTTAGTTTATTTGCCATTATTTTAATTGCTGACGTCATAAGGTTTACGGGACTAACTTTATCTCATTTAGGGTTCGATACTGTTATTGTTTCAAGTCTAAATGAAGAGATAAGTACAATTTGCATCTAGATATATGGTATATTTAGATGAGGGTGCAGCAGAATGCGTTTAATTCGTTAATAAATCAGACTGCGGGGTAGTAGGGGTTCATTAGATGGATCGCCCCAGGCCTTCCGGGGTGTCCTGCGCACTCTATCCGTACTTCTGTCGCTTGATGCATTTGATTTGGCGACAGCAATGAATGATGGATGCATCGCTATATTGATTTCTGGGTAAAGGTGTGCCTTCAATGCCACGGCAATGCACACGTCCTTTAAAATGTATATCGATGCATATATATGTAATATAGGATGTAGATGTTTACCTCACTTCTACCTTTCGTCGTCTTAGAGTGAATACCTCGTATGTGATTTCTATGTAATTTTTTAGGACGGAGATAAAAATGTGGTGTAAAATGTAGTAAATGCAATAATGTTTGTAGTCAGCATTTTAATTGGTTAAATTATACCTCTTTCAGATACTATATTACTTTAATAATATATTTCAGCAAGAAGTTAAAAAGTTTTTCTTCAACAAAAATCAGTAAAGACGAACTATGTGAAAACGCGTATGCGAGGTTTTCACTCTAAGGCGACGCTTTGTAAATATTATTGTTTTGTAAATAATAATATTAATATTTGAAATTGTATTCCATGTTACAAATTTTCGAAATTAGAATTTTATAATGGACGTTTTTTAATAATTTAGTCTAAGTGGTTAGACTTCTTATTATTTTGCCCCATGTTTCTTTGGTATGAAACCTTGTCACTATTGATAATTAAAGTAAATAACCAAGAAATATTTAAAATCTGTTTTGAGATGTGTTTGTTATTTATTAAGTAGCTTTATAATGGGTATTTAACGTGAAATGAGTAATTAATTGGCTCTCATAACTTCGGCTTATCGCTGGCATAAATTAAGGTGGATATTCGCGCGCGGCCGCCTCGGCTACGCACGTAGTGAAACTTTTAATTGCATTCAGCTCTATCACTGTCGGTGTCGTCAACAGCAGAAGTTATTATGAGCAGCTTCACTCATTCTACTCATCATAGACATTATAACCTGTATTGTCATAGCATTTAAGATTTCCATTGTCAATGGTTTATGTTTTCTCTTTCGTTTTTACCGAGTAAGTCATCTTTTGTAGGCTTAGCACGAAACGGCGCGACTTGCGCGAGAGCGACATAAAGCGCGAGATACTGCCATACTCGTTCGTGCTAGCCCTGCTGCTGGAGGGTTTTTAGCCGAGAGTGGGCAAGCAAGACGGCTTGTAAAATAAAGAAAGACATACTAACCGTTTCTTCCAACGAATATAATGATACTACTCAAGGAATGTGCTGCTAGATATACCCGTCAGTGAAAAAAATTAAACATTTTAAAATTAAAATTGTCGCCGTATATCCGTTGCGGGTTGCACAAACATAACACAATGGAGGCCAGGACCGGACGAGAGGACTCATTAATTTAGATGATTGTACAATTATCTAAATATAAGCGGAGCGAGACGCCCAAGGGGGAGGGGGCACTCCAACCCGAAAAGGAGGGGAGGGGTGCGGGCACTCGTTTTTAATTAAACCAGCGATGAAATGAAGTGGTCCGTATAATATTGCTTAGACATGTTTTAAATTAATTTTAACCCGTCTTATTAATACCATTGCTTAATTACTGAATAATTAGTCAATAAGATACAAAACTTTAATTAGATTTTTATTACTGACGGTACATCTCTCTACTTAATTTTAATAGATATTTTGGACATAATTATGCATCCAGGCGTTGATATGTTTAAAAATTGTAGACACATCCAAATCTAGAATTTTCCTAGTGTCATACATAACACAGTCTTCATGACTGTTGATGTTGTGATTTTAACTGTTTTAACTTAGCTGTTCACTTATTCATGTCTCCACATGAAACAAATTATGAGTCATTGTGATGTATAAAATTGGCTTAAGGATTCAATAATATTATATGCAAACCCTCTGCGGGATGGAAGGCTCTATTCGTGCCGACACAGAAGGGTTGTGCGCCTATCTTCTCTATTTGTTTTTCGTTAAAGCTTTAATTAAAAGTAGGTTTATTTTAAAGAAAATTGATGTTCAAAGTAAATAAATCCTCGATGGTTTAATTATCTCTTTGTAATTGAGTTTTACCTGATGATAAAATAATTAGTGCGGTGCTCACAAGTTGCTTATTAATTAATATTTCGAAGATCATTGAAACTCTATAGAGTGGTGACGTCTTCTAACATTTAGATTTAATTGATATTCGATTGCTTAGTCTCAGCGACTGTTTATTTTGTAATTCAATTCAAAGGAATTCAATTCCTGTTTACTTCCAAAATCGATTTCTAGTAACTACGTACCTATTTCACTTGTTTGCTTTTTTAAATTCAAACTTGTATTTATATTTGTACAATAATATCTATAGGTATCATTATCGGTCATTACTTTCTGTCCTGTTTACTTCGTAACCTTAGCAATGTCGTCATAGTTTGGCTTATCCAGTATTAGATAAACATTGACAGTTCTTCAAGTTTCGACGTAGTTGTGCTTTGTAAACAGAAAGCAGAGAAAGACGTGCACGTGGTTTCTGCAAGCCGTTGTGTCTCAACGTCTCGCCCGGTCCGCCTGCCAAACACCCGCTGGCCGTCTCACGTAGCCGGCTAACCTTCATGGCGCTGCCATTTCTACAACTAGCAACTACCCTATTGTCATTCATCATAACATGTCTCTGTTATACTTTACTAGATGATCTACACCTGTTTACAAACACACCGGTATCAGTTCCAAACTAGTGCGTATGTTTTGATCAACCAACGCTGTCTTCTCTCGACTCTAATAAAATAGTTACCTAAAGGCTTTGTCCTTTTGGGTCTGTCAACCACGCGTCCAGGCTCAGCGCCTCGATGGGACCGCCGGGTCTCCGGACCGGCACGATGCACCAAACAAAAAACTCAACAATAACAAAAAAACACAATAAACGTAGGAACTTAACAAACTACACCGCTGACAAGTTCTGTACCCTTCGAGTCCGTGAGGATAACAGACTGAACACATATAACTTTCTTGCAAAACTTTAAAACAAAAACTGTGGAAGAACTTCGAAAAAAGTAGTTATGATTGTGGGGACCGACGACACCTCCCCATACGGCGTTACGGTCGCGACTGAGCCATGCGGTTGCTCGCGGGGCGGGGAAGGGGGGAGCTAGCAGGGGGCGCCGGCCCCGCGCCTCCGCGGTATTATTTGATTAATTCGCCTCCCCCTTGTATACTCGGTGAGTCGTTACGAAGAACGACGTTAAGTTTTTAAATTTCAGTGAGAGGACAACAACCTTCACCTACTATTTCATACTTTAATTGAATTCATTAAGATCGGTGGTCGCGGACAAAGATTAGACGTTAATAAGCAAACACTCAAGGACTCGTCCCGTTCTTGGTTAATTACGGCAGTCGTGGTGCGCCGCAGGAAAAAAATCGTTGAAAATTAATGAGTGGTACGGAGGAACGTAAGATCCCGCTAATTGGAGTGCATTTGCATACTGAAGTAAAACAAAGACGGAGTGAGTTATTTTGACGAAGTCAGATGATTGCGAACAAAACCACTAACAACGCAACCTTTCTGCAGACGCGGTGTGGCGATGTCAGACAAGAATATGACTGCGATGAACGAGTTATGTTTAGTATATGTGAACGACGAGTTAATGTTGACAGTTATATAATTATGACAACATTGAACTAAATCTTACATTCGGAGATAATCCCAAGTTTCTATCTTATAGTGTTAATATTATACAAACAGCATTTACTACTTACCCTAAGACAAGGGACACAAATAAATAAAACTAAAGAGGAAAAAACTTACACATCACTCGCGATAGCTGCTAAGATAGTCTCCATGAATAAATCTTAGGAGGCTCTACCGAAATACATACACTATACAGGAAACTCGTTTCATGTCTCGCGTCGGGTTACAAGAAAGAGGTCGGGCCCAATTTTGGTTGATTTAATAATTTTGAAATGGGGATTATCGGAGTAATTTGGCTTAGCGATCGATCAGTGCAGCGCAGGTGTGCTTTGGGCTTGCGCGTACGCACCCTGTCCCTAAGACACCATCCTATTAAGATGACATAATAGGAATGTAGAGTAATTCACAAACCGAAATTCAATAGCAAGGCGTTTATTACATTAGTTAATTTTGTTAAATTGCCATTTATGTAGAACAGTTGTGTTTCTTTATTTTTCTTTAAATGTAGAGATACATAATTTGTGTGTTATTAAGTGTGAATTTTATTATTACTTGTAATTTCGTAATAATGACTTCTCACAACATTTTCCTTGGCTCATTTTAAAACGCATCAAAAGTATAATTAGGTGCCCGCCCATACAAAATTTAATTTAAAAACTGATTAAAGTACGAGTTGGTGAATAGTTTTCATGCTACAGGTATCAGTATCTGGTACGAGAGGCTTGAGCGAGCTCCGGCCCGAAATTAATCTTTGTTTAAAGTTAATGGACCTTATTAATCACGGGTATTATGTCTAGATGAATGTGGTAATCGGTGACTCAGCCGAAAGATATCAAGCCTTTTATTACGAAAACAAATGCTCCGTTACACAACCTGTTCGTTATTCTACTTGCTATTAGAGAGCCTCAGGACAAGTAAAACTCACCCTTATATCAATCGAGTAAGAGTTCTGAAATAAAATATTTGAAAACCAATGCGTAGATTAGAGTGACAGGTGAATGCCATGCTATTAATATTGTGCATTTTAATTGGATGCGTTAATGATAACTTATTATTAGTGACACCAAATTCGCCAGGAAGTTAGAATTTTTATTACCCAGTAGGTTTAATTAAATTTAAATAGAAATAAGATACTGATTGGCGTTTTTGTAATTTATTTATAAAATTGAACAAACATGTGTGAGCATAAAATATTTATGTATCTCTGAAACGTGTACGAGTAAGGTATCAAATTATGCGTTCGTTTATTTTTATGAAGGTCCAGAGTGTATTTATGTGTTTATTCTTCTCTTAATTTATGTTTAAGATGTTTAATGACGATCATTTCCATACTCAATGTGGAGGCAGGTAGGTGCTTATATCTTAATTATGGTTACCATTAACATAGGCCAACTTGGCTGTTGCATTGGCGGGGTACGTAAATGAAATGTCGAGTCGTTACAGTGCGTGGTGCGAACGAAACAAGGGTACAAATTAAGGCGGTAGCACACTGCACCTCTGCAGTTACGGGTGGGGCTCTGGCGGTCACAATACGCCAAATGACGGGCGCCCGGTACGCAAATGAAGAATATTGTCGGCCACTGTGAATACTCCTTAATGACGCACAGACGGTCCCGCCTGAGCCACTACACTAGAAATATCTCCCACACTACCATTTGCGCGATTGTTAACTGTTGATTCGTATTATTATTTGGATTGTTGAATGTAAATATAAACTGCAAGCTTTCTTTGGAAATGTAGTAGTTTTATATTTAGAACTTTTAGCTTTTATTTTAAATTTTCCAATATATAGCTGAGTTAAAAAAATAAAAAAAATACCTAACAAGTATGAAAACTAAAACGGAAATAGGTTATATAAATATCTCTTTTAATAACATTTATACATAATTGGAATTTTTTTTTTTTTTTTTAAATAAATAAATAAATAAATAAATAATAACGCACACACTCAACATAGCCCCGCACTAGGGAAACCCTGTGTCGCGGGTACCATGGACACACACATAGACAACCACAAATTACACCCAAACTCACGAGAGAAGTAATTGTAGGCCATACAACTATTTCTCCCGGCCCGGGAATCGAACCTGGGACCTCTGCGTGGCAGTCCGGTATGGTAACCGTTCAGCCACGGAGGCAGTTAAATTGTTTTTTAAATTGTTAACGTTACACGGCATACAATTGTTTATTATCACTATTAAAGGACAATGTAAACATATTTTAAAATTATCCACTACAAACATTCAGTTTCTGTACAAAGCAAATGATGTGAAAACATTTTATCGTACCATCCAGTTGAGTAACGATTCTAATTTTCTCATATTTGTCGTTCCTTTTAACGTCGCGTTCTTTAAATAGTAAGAATTCTTGGAATGAGATGTTTTATTCTAAATCGTAATGTGATTTCATGTGTATTTTCTTGTACAAACACACATATGATCGCTTATATTTGAAATCTCAAACTACGTTATAGTCTGCAGTTAAGTGTATGCCTTGCAAATAATAATATTAAAAAGCTGAAAAGTTAAAAAAAGTGCTGGATAAAGACTTTTTACGAAATTCTTAAAAAAACATTCTTACCGTTTTACTTCACTGCACTGCGCCGTCACCATATGCCTCCATATGTCCTACTATTGAGTATAGGTGTCCAATGAGAACACGACTTACCTCATAATCCACCATGTTGGTCAAAATAATATTCTTAGAATGAATTGGCGAGAATTTTAAATGTCTTCGAAAATTATTTTGTCTATTTATTTCATATAGTCTGATGAGGTTTCATTTTGTTTTAAATGTTTTAAAACATTTTCAGCGTTGGAATCAGTATATGAATTGAATAGGCTATATAAATATAGCTGGGACCAATCCTAAACATTCAACCGGCGTAACATCCAACTCCAATATTATTTACTTTTTAAGTGACTTTTAATGGTAATTTATTATATGCAAGTATTACTTAATGTTCCGACTAAATTATTTATCAAATTGTTGTGAAAAATAATGTTCTACAAAATGTAAAGAAACATTTTTATTTTCATTTATCAATTGCGGTCATTATGACCGTAGTAGTAGGCAGTAGGTACTATTTTAGTTTCCCACAAGTAAGTGGTCGCAACAAAAAGAAAAATACAGCTAGAGATCCAAACGAAAGACATTAGCAACAAAACAAACTTGCATGATTCATTGTCCTCCCTGTCACACGTAGGGCAAAGTAACAAGTACAGAGTCATTACGTCAAAGTCTTTAAGAGCCGTAAGCTGCGTGACAAGCAGGTGGAGAGATTTACGGTGCACGCTTGACCCAGACCTCTGCACAAATTGCCTTTACAAAGGAGGCGTCGACGCGACTCAAGACGTTTGACCCCAAATTTAGCCTTGCAGCTGTCGATATGGACTTTATTTAAATCCGCACTCGTTTTTTGGTATAATTGCCATTTATGAAGATTTTTTTAGCATCAAGATTATTACTTTTACATAATATATAATATTTTTGTAAGTACTACACTCTTTCCATTAAATCTCGCACACATATTAAATAGTGAAAATTTATCGAAGAAAAATAAAAACAAATAAAATGCAGATATTGATCTAACGATACTATTTTGTAATTTGCATTACTACGTGAAGTGTAAGTGCGCATGGACTTGTAGGAACGAATGGCGGAGGAGCAAGCCGCTTAGATTCATCGAACGAGCGCATTACGTTCGATTGTAGGGCCAAGCGCGGCCTAATTGCCAGCATTGTGTCGGCATGCAGATGTGAATGGGCTTTGATTTGGACCCGGGGGCGCGGGGGCCGGGGCCAGGGGACAAATCGCTCGTTACGGCTGCAGGTAAACTTTCATTGAGCGTCGGAAGGCGTCGGACGTGAGAGGCGGCCGACAAAATGCCCTCGTTATTCGCCGCCGAATCACTCTCTCATTGTATTCGGGGAAACGGTAGACGCGGTCGCCGAATCACGAAAAAGACTTTAATGAGGCGTGAGAACGCTCCAAATGAACGATTGTGCCGAGGGCTCGGTTTAATGAAGGATTGATGCTAAAGTGGCTTAAATTAACAAGAATTATGGGACTATAATAATTATCTGTAGGGAGTAAACAACGGTTGCGTCGGAATTTCCTGATGCGATTAGCAAACATTTGATTCGAAATATTAATCTCGGTTTCGGAAATTTCGTCAGTTCATCTAACCACCTGTTGCTTGACAGAGGGTGAGAGGAAAAACTAAGTGAGGGCAAGCGCCCGGCGGTTCCCCCCGCGGGCCATGGCCCTCAGCCTTCTATGGACCGAATTCGACACCGCGCCAATTAAAACCTGACTCCTGGCGTTTTGTCATGTCCCATCTATATTTGACTAAAATAATATTTGAAAGTTTTAGAACACAAAT